TAAATTTATCCTAACTATTTTGTATATATAAATACAAAATGATCTTTCCTTTGTATCCTTTTATTTTTTTGTCCTGTCAGAGGTGAATAATCTATTGGCATCTAAATACTATAGGTGTTTGAATTCAACTAAGCAATCTAACTGTAAATTTATTTTAAAGAAAGTATAATAATAATCAATAAGACATTAGTAATGGCACACATTTAGAAGACCAAGATGAGAGGTAGTCAACCATGGTTTTGTATTACATATTGCTGTCCTTGACGTAGTTGCTCAGATTGCAGATATCAGCATACAGAGTTAGTCAAAGTGAAAATTCTAAACATTAACTGCTATTTAAAAAAAAACTGATGGAAATTGTTAATATAATTATCTCAGCATGTATATACACTTGCATGATTTTCCCCCCTTCCTTTTTTCTTATACTTTCTCCTTTCCCTCATCCTTCATTATTTAATACTTATGTTCAGTTTCATTCAGTTTTACTATATTTATTACACCTTTCAGGTTTTATTTGTTCTTTCAGATTCTTATACTAGGAAGACAATATATTTACACATGTGGGTCTGATTTATTTCACTTGTGAGTATAGCCTCTAGTTGCATCTACTTGCCTATAAAGTCTTTGAGTTTGTCCTTTGTTATAGCTGAGTAATACTCCATTGTATAATGGAGTTGGGAGCATTCTGGATCCTACCCATAACAAGGTGGAAAAAGGAGATGTGACCCAACAGCCCAGGGGACAGGGCTGGCTCTGCTTCTGAGCTGCCCATGAAAACAAGCCCAGCAGCTGAGTGAGGGCTTGCTGAAGGCAGTAGGGGCTGGCCCAAGGGGGACCCAAAGCCAGGTTCACCACCCCATCTGTATGAGGTTGGGTACACTAGTGAGCCTCTTTGAGCTCAAGCTTCTTTATTTGTCCCATGAGGACACTATTCAGAGGACTGAATGAGAGATCTGAGAGCTGGCACAACATAACCTACGGCTGCCAGGCTTGCTGCTTGGAGATTCCTCTGGGGAGGTGAGGGCTTCACTCCCCTGTTTTATAGATGAGCAATAGACTCAGAGAGGGCAAGTGACTTGGCCAGAGTCACTCAATTCAAAAGCAGTAGAGCCCAGACAAGCCTGACGATTTTGGCACCATGTACCCCTCTCTTCATTCCCTTCTTTTATTTTTTTTAATTGTGTGTTTGTGTGTGTGTGTGTGTGTGTGTGTGGCCAGCTAAGCCCACCTGGGGGCGGGGCTGGCTGGCATGTGGTGCTGGGGGATTGAACTGTGGTCCCTGTGCTTTGCTAAGCTTGTTCTAAGTAAGTGCTTTAGACCACTGAGCTATCTCACCAGCCCTTCATTCCCTTCTTGAAAGTCTTTTCCCTTATGGGGAGGAGGAGCTGGGCTGGTGCCCTAAGAAGGGCATTAGGGGCTGTTTTTAGTTCTTGTAAACCTGTGCCTATGACCTCCTGGGTCCTGTAGCCTGGAGAAGACAAACTTTGAGCTCTTGTTCTGTACCAGGTGAACCTGGCTTTGTCTTCTGAGCCACAGGCTCATGGACCAAGGACCATTTTCCAAGGTTATAAAAAGGCAGGAGCTTGTCAGGGCTGGGAGCATGTGGGGCTGGCCTTGAAGTCAGGGATCACCCACACTGAGCTCTGCAGCCTTTTCCCCTCAGGAGAAATGTTTCTTCCCTCTGGGGGACAGGACTCTTCACTCTAGCGCTGGTGGCTGTCAGAGCAACCAGCTTCACCATCTGGCAGGTAGCAGTTCTGCTTCCCTAACCTGAGGGGAGGATGGGGTGGCTGGCCTTGTGGGGCCTGGGTGACACTAAGGCCACCAAGGCACTGTTCCATCTCCTCCCCCATCTCAGCCAATGGGTCACATCTTTCCTGCAGGAGCTGGAGGGAAGAGGTGGAGGCATCTGTCCTCAAATGCCGCCACTATTTTTGGAGACTACATTGATCCTAATTCTGGGGCGTGTGGGCTTGGCCAGGCTAAGAGCAGACCCCACTCAAATAACATCAGCCACTGATGTCACTAGTTCTGACCCGGCTCTTCTGGAGTTGGCACAGACCCTTACCATCTTTTGAGATGGCTTACAGCCAGGAGACCCCTACAACTATCTTTACTCAGCTCTGTTCTTTCAGACTGCAGAAGGAAGCAGCCCCAGATCAGAGCCTGTGTGGACCCTAGGTGTCTTGGGGGGCATCCTGGCCTGGGCACTCCAGCATCGGGCTTGGAGCCTCCCCTTGTGAAGGGTGCTGTGTCATGGAATCAAATTAACTTCCTGCACTCTGTGTGGAACCTTGTCAGAGACACACAGAGCGACCATGCAGGGACAATTCCACTGTCCCTTCCTGTGCCCACTTCCCTCAGTTCTCATGTGGATAGGCACTGAGCAGTTAGGTGACCTATCCACGGTCACACAGCTCATCATGGTGGGCCAGGACTTGCACCCAGAGAGGGTGCTGAGCCTGTGCTGTCAGTGCACTCACTGTGGATTACGAAGAGTAGAGCACATTGCTAAGTATTTACATGGACACATGCATTTAAAGTGAATGATGGTAGCTGGGGATATAGCTCAGCAGCGTAAGTGCCTGCCTGGCAAGCACAAGGTCCTGAGTTTGGTCCCTGGTACTGAAAAAAAAAGAAAGAAAGAAAAAGAATAAAAAAAGAACTATGGTAGAACTGGGGATGTTGCTCTGTGGCAGAGCACATCTTTTGCAACATAAAAGTTTTAACTTTTGCCGATGCCTAGTTTATTTTTTCTTTTGTTTGTGTTTTTGTTGTCAAGGTGATAAATATTTACTCCTGCTGGGTATGCTGGCTCATGTCCATAACCCCAGCAGTCAGTCAGGAGGCTGAGCTCAGAGGATCTATTGAGAGTTTGAGGCCAGCTTGGGCTACAAATTCAGTCTCAGCCTGGGCTACCTAGCAGAACCCTCTCTCAACAAGCGAGCAAACAAGCAAGCAACCAAACAACAAATATTTATTCTTGTAGTTGGTTTTTGTTTATTTGTGTTTTTCTAATGCTAGGAATTGAACCCAGGAATGTGTACTTGCTAGGCAAGGGCTTTACTGTTGAGCTACATCTATAGCTCCCCTGTGACTTCTTTTAAGATTTTATAGTTTTAGATCTTACCTCTAAATTATTCCACCTTGAGTTAATTTTTGTTTATGACATAAAGTTGAAGTCCCTTCCTTTACATGTGAACATCCAGTTGCGCTGGTCCTATTTATTGAAAGGTTATCTCTATTTAGTTCTCTTGACCTTCTTTTCAAAAACCAACTGCCTGTAAGTGTGAAGTTTTATTTCTGAACTCTTAATTCTGTTCCACTGATCTATATGTCTGTTGTTCTATACACAAGTGCCACGTTGCCTTAATTACCATAGTCTTAGGATATGGTTTGAAATTAGGAGATGTGGATCTTTCAATTTTGTCCTTCTTTAAAATTGTTTTGCATATTTCTAGGTCTCTTCCATTTCCACATGAATTGCAGGACCAGCTTGTCAATTTCTTCAAACAAATCAGTTGGGATGTGAATAGATTTCACTGAATTTGTAGATCATTGTGGGGAATGTTACCATCTTAATATTATGCCTTCTGATCCATGAATTGGGGAAATCATTCCCCTTCTTTAGGTGGCCATTTGCTTCTTTCAGCAATGTTTTCAGAGTTTAAGTGTTGCACTTCTTAAAAGTATTTCTAGACATTTTTTGATGCAATTATAAATGGAATTGGTATTCTAAAGTTGCATCTTTTAATTTGCTCATTGCTAGGCTATAGAAACACAATTGATTTTGCATGTTGCAGCCTTGAACTTGTGTGTGAATTCTAACATTGTGTGTGTGTGTGTGTGTGTGTGTGTGTGTGTGTGTGTGTGTGTAGGACATTTTAGGTATAAGAGCATACATCTGCAAACAGGAATAGCTTTACCACTTTCCCAGCCAGATGCCTTCTATTTCTTGAGCTTGCCTAACTGCCGAGGCTGGAGCCTGCAGTACAACAAGACCGGAAGTGAGATGAGCTGACGCTGTGCCTTGTTTTAGAGTTTAGCGGGGAAAGCATTCAGCCTTTCACCCTGGAATGTGATGCTGGCTGTAGTATTTTATCGAGACTGTTTATTAGGTTGAAGACATGCCCTTGAGTTCTCAGTTGGATTTTTTTTTTTTTTTAAATCATGAAGGGATGTTGGATTTCATCAAATGCTTTTTCTAGGAAATATCCTTTGTGGTACTGGGGAATGAACCCAGGGCCTTTGCACTGAGCTACACCTTCTGTCCTTTTATTTTGAGACAGTGTCTCACTAAGATGCTAGGTTGTCCAGGCTGAGCTCAAATTTATAAAACTCTTGGGACTGGGGAGATGGCTCAATGGAATAAGCACTTCCCTGGCAAGCGCAAGGGCCTGAGTTCAATCTCCGGTTCTGCAAAACAAACAAACAAACAAACAAACAAAAACAAACCCCAAAAACAAACAAAAAAAACTCTTGCCGCAGCCTTCCAGAGTACTGGGATTACAGGTGTGGACTACCAGGATGAGCTGAGACGTCCTTTCTTGTAAAATGTTACAGGGGACTCCGTCCTTCTAAGGGTGAAAACTCTGATATATAGGCAAATGAGAAAGGTATTAAAATACTGGCGTTGTTGGTAAAAACCACTGCGCTGCTTCCGGTGTGGCTACTTCCCTGAGCTGTAGGCAGCCACTCTCCTAGGGGGCTGCAGGAAGGCTGCACTCACGGCCCCTTTCCCTCTCCGCCCCAGGCCTATGAGAAGCGCTTCCCCACTTGCCCACAGATCCCCGTGTTCCTGGGCAGTGAGGTCTTGCACGAGTCCCGCAGCGCGGATGGGGCGGTGCACGTGGTTGAGCGGAGCTGCAGACTTCGTGTGGACGCCCCGCGGCTGCTGCGGAAGGTGGGTGGTTGCTTGGCTAAGAGATCAGAGATGGAGTGCTGGGCTGGGTTAGACTGGGTCGGCTGGAGGCCCCTGAAGACCACAGTGGGTAAGGGCTACGGGGGACCAGAGCTAAGTCAGGGTGCATGAGTGGGGCTGGGTCTGAGGGTCTGTGCTGGGGAGGACCCTGGGACCAGGGCAGACCGGGTGGACTGTGGGAGAAGGGACCTGGGCTGGGATCCAGAGGGTCAGGCAGGTCCTCTGGTGTCTCACGCAAATATTCACGCCCTCGGTTACCTCCCTTGCAGGTTGCGGGCGTGGACCACGTGGTCTTCCTGCAGAAAAACGTTCTAAACTGGAGAGAGAGGACATTGCACATCGAGGCCCACAACGAGACTTTTGCCAGCCGCGTGGTGGTCAATGAGAACTGCAGTTACACGGTGCTGTCCTCTCCCTCTTGTCCCTTTCTCCCTCCCCTGTCACAGTCAGGTAACATGCAGGATGCCCAGCTGCAGTTCACAGATAAACAGCCGATAATATTGTGTAGTGTGTCTCCCATACCGTTCCAGATACATGTACAGGCAAACATTCTTCGTTGCTTATCTGAAATTCAAACGTGCCTGGGCATCTTGTACTGCTAAATCTGGCAGCCTTCTCCTCTCTCCCTTTTCCCTTTCTCCTTTCCCTTGGTCTCTCATGAAATGTTTAATTCCTCATCTGTAAAATGATCATCATCAATCATGCCCATCACACAGGTTGTGGTGAGGATTACCTCAAGTAAGATGTTCTTATCCAAGCCCCTTAGACCAGTGTCTTGCACATACTAAATTTCAGGTAAGTGTCACCTTTCAACTAATAATGATTATTAGTCTGCAGTACATACTGATGGGAACCCACTGTGCCAGGGCCCTGCCAGGCACTGGGAACCCAGCCATGCGCCAGTCTGCCCAGCCACTGTCCTCACATGGCTTCAGTGGGGTGGGAGACACTGAGGAGAGGTAACCACATCCCTACTGTTTCCTTGTCACAGCGCTAGGAAGGACCCAACAGCAGGACTAGAGGGACAAGAGGAGAGGTCCTCCCTTAGGTTCCAGTGTCCCTTGGGCCTCTCAGGAAGTGCCACTGAGGCTGGGAGCTGAGAGCCAGGAGGAGCTGCCCCACGAGGGCTGGAAACAGCACAGTAAGAGGCTGAGCAAGGTGAGACCAGGTAGAGCTGCAGGACCAGGTCTTGTGAGCCACAGGACTCGGGGAAGGAGCCTGGAGACACCGACTGAGTGCATCTAACTCTGCTGTTTTTTTTGCTGAATGACAGTGGCTAAGTCACTTCCCCTCTGTGGGCCATACCATTTGTATCTAAACAGAGGGCATTACCGGACCCTGCTTGCAGAGCCTCAGGTTGCAGGGAGAAGCCCATTAGCCCAGGCTGGATCCTAGATGGGAGTTTCCAGGAGGGCAGCTCCAGTGTGCTAATGCTGGAGCTTCGTGGGTGGCTCTGCTGTGTCTTGGCCTCTTTGATTTCTCAGGCCCTGGCACTTTCCATGGTGCTCTGTGTGCAGCAGCCACCCACTACATGCCCACTGTGTCTCATCGTTACTTCCCACTCCTCCTGGAGACGTGCCTGAGTCCAGGCTTCTTGGGGCAGCGGGTGTCTGTGTAGTGCACTGGGGTGATTGCCAGCAGCAGAACGGGTAACCCCGAGGCTGCCTGGGGTTCGGTTCCCTGGCCCCACCCAGCACCATCAGGGGCCAGCCTGGGAGCCTGCATGTTCTCTAGCTTCCCTGGTAACTTCCTAGGAGCATGAAGTTGGGATCTGAATAGCAACTTTGCCAATTAAGTTCATTTTTGGTGATATGTTTATATTTATGGATACATAAGGATATACAGCATGATAAAAATATGGAGAAAGCTTAAATTTAAAAAATGTATTACAATAAAAGACACATTGCCATTAACCCCCCTCAAAATATTCCCTTTGCTTCTCTGAAGAGTCCTATCGTTCTTGTCACTTCCCGAAGCAGTCCTGGAAGTCCTCTTTCATTAATATCTTGAGTTGTGCTGTTGTGACTGCTTGATGCCCTCGATTGATTCAAAATTGATTTACCTTTCATGGTCATTTTTGACTGTGGGGAAGAGCCAAGAGTGACACAGCACTGGATCTGGTGAAGAAGGTGGATAAAGACACTCCCTAATATTCTTAACAAGCCTGCACTTGGCAGCAGCATTCACCTTAGTTTTGATTGTACTTCTTAGGACACTCACAAAAGACAGTCACTTCCAGATTGCTTCAGAAAGTGGCAAGAATAATGGGATAAGTGTGTTGGAAGTTGGGGGAGAACTTTGAGGGGGACTAATGGTGAGGTGCTTTTTAGTGTCATTCCTTTTTATTTAAACATTCACTGTATTTGGGCTGGGTGTGGTTGTGTGCCTGTAATCCCAGCACTCAGGAGGCTGAGGCAGGAGGATCCTTGCAAGTTGGAGACCAGCCTGGGCTACAAAGTGAGCTCAAGACCAGCCTAAGCTGCATAGCAAGATCCTGTGTCAAGAAGACAAAACGAGGGGCCGGGGAGATGGCTCAGTGGAATAAGCGCTTCCCTGGCAGGTGCAAG